CTGTCCACCACGCTCCCTGTCCACCACGCTCCCCTGTCCACCACGCTCCCTGTCCACCACGCTCCCCTGTCCACCACGCTCCCTGTCCACCACGCTCCCCTGTCCACCACGCTCCCTGTCCACCACGCTCCCCTGTCCACCACGCTCCCCTGTCCACCACGCTCCCCTGTCCACCACGCTCCCCTGTCCACCACGCTCCCCTGTCCACCATGCTCCCTGTCCACCATGCTCCCCTGTCCACCACGCTCCCCTGTCCACCATGCTCCCTGTCCACCATGCTCCCCTGTTCACCACATTTTACCTGTCCACCATGCTCTCTGCCCACTGTGCTCACCTGTGCGCCATGCTCACCTGTCCACCACGCTCCCCTGTCCACGACGCTCACCTGTCCACGCTCACCTGTCCACCACACTCCCCTGTCCACCACGCTCACCTGTCCACCACGCTCCCCTGTCCACCATGCTCCCTGTCCACCACGCTCACCTGTCCACCACGCTCCCCTGTCCACCACGCTCACCTGCCCACTCTGCTCCCCTGTCCACTACCCTCACCTGTCTACGGCTGCCCATCTTTCTTCACCCATCACCAGTTTGCTTTCCTCATAGCACTTACCACAGACCAACATCTTATTTAATTGTGTGTTTGTCTTTATTGGGTCTCCCTCTGTGGGAATGTATGTCCCTTAATGGGAGCAGGAACTGTGTCTTTTTTCACACTCAGATCTTCACAGATTAGAAAACTAAATGCCTAATATGTTCCTGACTCCCTCTACTTTACCAACTTATTTCCAAATATTTAGCGAATTCCAATCATATATGAAGTTCTGTGTCTGTACACCCAGGAAGCAAAGCAGCCAGACTGTGGAGGTAAAGCGAGCTAAGCGGCCACAAGCTGCATCCTCAGCCCCTGGGACTCACGGGCGCAAGTAAGTGGCAGTGTCTCTGGCAGGAGACCGTTTCACGTAGGAAGTGAGTCACGCCGGCTCATGCGCGTGCACGCACACAAGATGGAAATCAAGTTTATGTAGCCTACACTCTGGTTCAGTTTTCTTTGTTAATAAAGCTTATAGTCTAGCATTGACTGATAACGTTGATGGAATTTGCTAAAAGGGATCAACATGAATTTTACATTCTGTTTGTGTTCTCTCTACCATCTTAAAACTAAATAGTGGCAGGTGGAAATGTTCCAGTGACACCCCTTCTAGAGTGATAAATAGATTCACGTTGTATTTCATTAATAGTCAAATTTATAGATCGCATAAAATAAAAAATCCGTGAATGGTAAGTTCTACATTAGAAAGTTGGTGACGTCCTCCTGTCTGGTGCTGAGTTGGTGGTTTTCTGGGTGTATGACCATATCTGTTGTGATCTTGCTTCTTGCAAAGTGCATATTATAGCAGAGTGTGCACATTGGACATTTAATCAATTAATTTTTAAAAAGATTTTATTTATGTATTTGTGAGAACATGAGTGGGGAGGGGCAGAGGTTGAGGGAGAAGCAGACTCCCTGCTGAGCAGGGAGCCCAATGCGAGACTCGATCCCAGGACCCTGGGATCATGACCTGAGCCGAAGGCAGACGCTTCACTGACCCAGCCACCCAGGTGCTCCCCCGAAGGATATTTTTGATGGGTATCTGCATTAGTAGATTTTCAGCATTCGGGGCTGATGGTTCTTTTCTTCCAGCACTTGAAGAAAGTTGTGTGATTTCCTCGTGGCCTCTGTGGTTTCTGATCGGAAATCCTTTGTCTTTTGGATTGTGTTTCCCTCGTAGGTAAGGTGTCATTTTTCTCTAGCTGCTGTCAAGATTTTTTCTTTGCATTTAGTTTTCAGAAGTTTGCCTGTGTGTCCTAGAGGAGACTGGTTTACGCTGTTTCCTCAGCTCTGTCAATCTTTAGGTTTCTATCTCCCGCCAAAGTTGAGTTTTCAGCCATCATGTTTCTGAATGCCCTTTCAGCCCTGCCTTCCTTGTCTCCCCTTCTGGGACTCTGATGATATGAATGTTAGATCTTTTGTTACAGTTCCACACTCCCTGAGGCTCTGCCCATATTTTTTTTCAGACTGTTTTCTCTCTGTTGTTGGAATTGGGTGATTTCTGTTCTCCTAGTTTATGGGTTTTTCCCTCTGCCCCTCATCCTTCTATTTAGTGCATCTGCTTGAGCTGCTTATTTTGGTTATTGTATTTTTCAGTTATAATATTTCCATTTGGTTCTTTTTGTATTTGTTTGCTGAGACTTTCTGTTTCTTTGCTAAGCCTTCTGGTTTTTCATTTCTTTAAAGTGTGTTCATAATTGTTCACTGAGGCAGTTTCAGTAAGCCTGCTGTACAGTCTTTGGCAGGTAATGCTAAATCTTCCAGCCTCGGTGTTAGTGGCTACGGATTGAGATCTTCCCGGTTTTGATATGACAGCTGATTTTCTGTTGAAGCCTGAACATTTTAGTATTCTATTACAAGCATCTGGATCTCATTTAAGCCTTGTGTTTTACAGCTTTTTCTGACACTGCTCTGCAAAGGTGTGTGTGTGGGGGGGTCTCTGTTACTAACATGGGGATGGAAATCCAGGTTCCCCCCCAGATTTCTGCTGACATCGGAGGGAAGGGATCTTGTCCATATGCTGGGCAGGGTGGCTGGTGGGAGTTTGAACTCCCCATGTGGTCTCTATGGGGGTCTGACATGGGGGGTGGGCATACCACCCACTCCCTACCTGACTGCTCCCCTGACCCTGGCAAGGTCAGGGAGGTCAGGGGCCTCATTCCAGCTTCACAAGAGAGGATGCCCAGGGTCCCCCTTGGCCTTTGTTAGCATGGGTACGGTTGGGCTAGGTTTTTTTTGGTGGTGTTTGATGGAGGAGAGCTGTTATTGTCTAACATGTGCTAAGTCAATCCCTTCCTGGCCCTCCGGCTGGGGAGAACGACCTCAGTCAGGGCTTCTCCTGCACTTGGTGCTCCCAGGCTGCTGCCTCAGCTCCAGTGTGAGGTGCACAGGCCAGAGGACAGCCCAGGGCACCCCGCACGTGTGGTTCCTTGGATTCGCTGGGAGCACAGCCACCTGTCTCCTGCCCTCCCTTCAGAGCCTTCTGTGCATACTATCTCCAGGGTTTTAGTTGTGCCTGGAGGGCAGGGCAGGGGAAAGTACATCTTCTCCGTCTTCCTGGAAGCAGGCCCTTCCTCTCTTCCCGGGGTTTTGGCTCCTCCAGTATGCCTTGGAGAGGCGTTCAGAGAGGACGTCTGAGCCCCAGTGTATACACTGCTTTCGTTTTTATATCCAAGTGCCCGGTTTCTGCCTGCTCCCAGGAAAGCTTAGAAGCCAGTCTAGGGGTTCAGGGTCCCCCTCGGATTGCCTGTATATAACACTTGTATCAGTTGGCCAACTGTTGTGACGGAGTCCTCCTCACAGACCCCAGAACTGACATAGCTCAGACTCTTCTGCTCTTCAGATAAAAAAATATTATTGATGCTTTGTTATTTTAAATTTTACAGATGAAAGTTTTTTATAGGCACTTCCTTTTATGCTCTTGATTTTTTTGTTTCCTGGTAGACATTAAGACCACCCTTTTGGGAATGGCATGTTTAAACTATGCTTATTCTATAAATCCACGGTGCTGGGATTATGCTAATATCGCAACTGTGCTTTCAGTTGAGAATACTCCTGGGAATGACCCAATGGTTAACAGCCGCATAAGCATGCACTTCATATGGGTGGTTTTTTAGTTGCTTTTGGCAAGTGGAAGATTCGTGCTTATTACTAAGTCCATTTAATCCTAAAGTAAGGGTAACAGTGACTGTGGGGTGGGTCTCCCTGCAGTGACCCATTCTCTAAATGCTATATTCATGCAGAGCAGCTTAGAACGAGTTGCCATAGGAGGCCAGCCTGTTTGGTGAGTTTCCCCATCAGCTTCTCTTTTGGGTAATGCCTTAGAGACTTTTGAGATTTAGAAATGTTCCAACTGTTTGAATCTTGCCATTTGTAAGTGTAAAAAGAAAACGTTAGATTTGCATTTGAAAAAAGAATTCAAGTGTGTTCATGAAGGCAGCTTATATCTGCTGAGCCCTTCTTTTTATTCCCCAGAACATGTGGTTCTCAGCAAGTTCTGGACCTCCCTGTACCGCACTCACACACACACATAGACAGGCACAGAGCCGTCCTGATTTGAAGATTTTGGTAATGTGTTTTTGAACAGGGCATAAAAATATATCTCCGTAATTACATGATATTTAGTGATTAGATAATTATGGATAATTGCATGGGGTAGTTCTAAGTGCTAAAGTGTTACCATAAGATCTAAAATGTACAAATTGCATAATAATTATTCTTGGGAGTTATTTGGTAATTCTGAGCATAATTATCATGTGATCTGCAGTGCATGTAATTAATGCATAATCACATGGATTTTGCCTTCATAACTACTTCGCTCTTGTTATAAAGCTCTTTGTCATAACATTTGAGTATAAATATAATGTAATTGGCTCCCAGATACAGCACATTAAGCCCCGTGATAATTGCCTTCACAGTAACAATACCCTTATTTCATTACCACTGTGTGGCTCTTCGGCAGGATGGAGTCAGAACGAATTGCCCAAGATGTGGCAGTGAGCAGGCAGGCTAGCGGCCAAGTGGTGGGTAAATGTGCACACATCTGGGTCAAGAAAGTCTTTGCTGTGACCAGGACTTTTCCGTGAGAAAGTCTGAGTCTTTGACAGGGACAGATCCCTCTTCCAAGTGAAATGTGCACCTGGCGACAGCTCATTGCATCCAGCCATGGCGCCCCTGGGCCTCGTGCTTCTCATCCGGGAAAGCGTCCGTCCTGTTTCTGGTCTAGTGGTCTCAGAAGACGGGGACTTCTATGAGGAAAAGACCTTATTAATAAACCGCAGTGAGAGGGAGCCATGGGTTGTCAATGGCTTTGAGGGCAAACTTTGAAATGGTAGCAGTTTATCCTGAGACTGAAACAAGACCTTTGGCTCAACTTCTGGGTTGATAATGCACTTTTCAACTTTCCCCAGGCTTCACGTGGCAGGACGACTACACCCAGCACGTGATGGCCCAGGAACTCTCAACCCTTCCCCACACCTACCCGCAGCATCTGGAAGCTTCTGACACAGCCAGGTAAGCAGACTGCTCTCTGGTCACAGCCGGCATCCATCTAGCTTGTTCTTGTTTGAACGTATTGTGTTTGTGGCGTAGAGGGTCCGGAGGGTGGACAAGTCCTTCTCTACCGTGTCCTAGCCCAGGGGTGCAGGATGCGTTGGCGTGACCCTCGAGCCAGGTGCCGTCCTCACGACAGACATCCCAGTGGCCCTTCCCCTCCCTTTCCCAAGACCTTTGGAAAGCCCTGCATCTTCAGAACCTTGGCCGAAAGCAGAAAAGTCAAGATTTCTCATTTCCCAGTAAGAATTTATGTTCACGTTAGTACAAAAAGCAGAATTCAGTCGTGAAAGTTTTCCTGTTGCCAGAAATAGCAACCTCTACTGAGCAGCGACATGTCATTTCATCCTCACTACACGCACTGAGGGGTTCCTAAAGCCTGTCCTGTTCTTGGAGGGAAGGGAACTGAGACACGGGCAAGTTGGAACTCAGTCCAAAGACAGACCACAGGGAGCCACTTGGGTTTGTCTCATTCTTCAGCCATGGTGCCAGATTCTTCAAGTTTATGGAATGTGAAAAGGGCCTTCCCCAAAGGCTTAGGGAAGTTTGGGAGGCCCATTCTTTCCCCCCTAAGAGAGAGACTATTCTGAAACTTTAGATAGAAAAATCTCAGTGACACAAAAACATAGGTATCTGCCTTAAGCTGGTGTTCCTCTAATAAGTGAAGCGGCTAAGCCACCAAGAATTTCATTTCCAAATCCAGTGAGAGTGAGTGAGTGAACACACCCAAGGGACTTGGACACACTGAAAACACAGTTCGCCATGTTAGCTCTCTCACCGGCTGGACTATGAGTTTCTTGAGGGTAGGAAACATGTCCTTCTACTTCTTGTGTCTAGCTTTTCTACCTTAAATATAAAGGTTCTATACTGAAACAAAACACCACCTCTTTTCATGTGGACAAAGATCATGCATAGGAAATTCATATGGAAAATTCCAGTCTCAAATATGAATCTTATCAAAGATGATACCTTATCTTTGTTTTTTTTAATAAGGTGTATCCTTTCTACACCTCCTTTGTCAGAAAACATGCCATTATAGTCTGTGAGTGTGTGTAAGACTTCTCTGCAAGAAAAAACAACCAAAAACCAAAGCCAGGCTGTCTCGGATTCCGTTTTTGTTTTGGATGATTGCCTACTCTGCACTGGTCTTTACAGCTGGACATTTCAGTGCCGTCCAGTGCTTCTTCCTTCCGAGTGAAGATTTGACTTGACTAACCATGAAGCGCACTATCCCAGATAACCTTGAACTCCACTGTGAGCACAGACTAACTCCTTATATGGCTGGGGTGAGAAAGACCAGAGCATGGTATCACCCAAAGACCAGCATTTGCACACCAGGTGAGGCTGCTGAACAGACCCCTGGATGACTGCCTTCCTCCCAGCATCAATATTGTCATTTTTTAAGATTGCCAGTTCTATTATGAAAGATGATACCTTATCTTTGTTTTTTTTAATAAGTGAGATTAAAAGTTTAAAAAGATTCATATTTGAGATTGGAATTTTCCATATGAATTTCCTATGCATGATCTTTGTCCACATGAAAAGTATTTTTTGTATTTTTCTGTTTTGTTTCAGTATAGAACCTTTATATTTAAGGCTAGTAACTTTTCATTTATCCTATTTTGTAGAAATATTTTTTCAGTCTGTACCATGGATGACACTCGGTACAGTTGCTAATGAAAACAGAGTTCTCTTAGCCGTCTCTAGGCTGGATTTTTAATTTCTGTCTTTGACAGGGTTGAACCTAAGTAAACCACTCATCCCAGCTCTAAAAGCAGAGCCCCATTTCGGAAAGCCTTGATGGGATATTCCCAGATTCCTGTGCCTCCTACTCCTGGCTCTGGCCTCTGAGGGATGGGAGTTCCTGGTCTGCACAAGTAGGTCCCCGCGTCCTCAGGCTGAGACTGGGGTTCTCCAGTGGGATTCACCCCAGCTTAGAGGGCAGAGCGGATCAGGATGGCAGTGGGACCTGGGCAGAGTGTCTGATCCCATGACCCCCTCCCTGCTCCCTCCTATTGATCTGGTGGTTCTCCACGGTTATCCCTGTCGCTCCCCTCAGTCCTGTGTGCCTCTGTAAATAGCGTCCTGTTCAAGTACTCAGACCTCCTACTTCCGCATGTTTCCTGTTGGCACTCTGCCTGGTGGACCATCTCAGCATCCAGGACAGGGGTACATGGCCCTGGTGTCGTCCTGGCTTTGTCCCTCCCTGAGGCTGGGGTCACGGTTAGACTGTCATCAGGGTACGGACAGTGGTTTTCCCTCTTTTCACAAAATTTCTGCAAAACTTTCTTTAGCACTGAAATTATCTATTTCCTGGTGTACATATTTTTTATAATCTTCCTTTGAGGTATATCTCCTAGCACTTTCATTGTCTTCCAAGACTATTGGTCAAATGTGCTCACAGTTTTTATTGTGTGAAATTGAGGCATTTATATTTTTACAGAGAACGGTCATCCTTTTCATAAGGATTTCCAAGTTTGTTAACGTGGTGTGATGTTTAGAATTGTATTATAATTTTAAAAAACCGTTCAGTGTACATATACTTGTTAGTCTTGTCATTTTAATGTATTTATTTATTTTTAAATGAGGCACTGTTCACTTTTTTTTAAGTTTCAGAGGTAGAATTCAGTGATTCATCAGTTGCATAAAACACCCAGTGTTCATTACATCAAGTGCCCTCCTTAATGTCCATCACCCAGTTACCCCATCTCCCACCCAGCTCCCCTCCAGCAACCCTCAGTTTGTGCCCTATTTTTAACATGATTTTTAAAATTAATTATCTTTGGATTTTCTTATTTCTACTATCCTTAGACCTATTGTTTTTTCTTCTTTTTTTAGACCTATTTTTAAAATATTTTATTTGTTATATTGAGAGAGAGAGAGCATGAGCAGGGAGAGAGGCAGAGGGAGAGGGAGAAGCAGGCTCCCCGCTGAGCAGGGAGCCCGATGCGGAACTCGATCTCCAGACCCTGAGATCATGACCTGAGCCGAAGTCAGATGCTTAACCCACTGAGCCACCCAGGTGCCCTAGACCTATTTTTTTAAAAAAACTTCTTGAATGGAATGTTTTGTTCATGTTTTTATTCATTCATTTTTTAAAAGTAATGAAGTTACACAAGTCTGTGCATTAGATTTTGAGCATAGATTTGGCACCATCCTGTGATTGACTGGCTGATATCAGTCAGAAATGTTCTATATTTTCTGTAATAGTAATTTTATACCCTTTGGAAACAGTAAGGGTCCAGTTTTTCATATATGTGTTGTTTTTAAACTTTAAATTGCTGCCTAGTTTTATTTCATTTTAGTCAGACGTGACCTGTTCAGTTTTTACCTTCTGGAAATTTTGAGGTTTTTCTCTGTGGCCTTTTTTGTATGATCTTGTTACTGATATTCAATGGATACTTTAAAAAGATATTGTATCCACTATTTGCAAGGTACAGATTTTTATACATAGTTTATAATTTTATATGGTTTGTAATATGTCCTTAATTACATTTTGACTTATTGAAATTTCTTAGAAACTGTTTCTGTAAATTTTCCTTTTGTCATTAATATATTTTGCCTTAAACATTTTGAGGCTCTGACATCGGGCACATAAGAGTTGCTGGGTCACATCTTTCTTGGTGATTGCTGTACCCACGGTCACTTCCAAAGGGTGCCTTGGTTGCCTTTAATGCTTTTGTCTTGGATTCCATTTTTCTAAAATTAGTACTGCCATTCTTGTGTTCTCTCTTTTTATTTGCTGCCTAACGAATCTGGCTGTCCTTCGAAATTTCACCCCTTGGACTGTCTCTATTTCACATGCAGCTTTCCTGAGCAATGTTAGGTGGCACTTTTTACGGCCGGACATCTCAGTGAGGCCCTGGTGTCTCTGCTCACTTCCTTTTCCTCTGTGGAGTGTGACTGGTTCGCTTTTGTTGCCTTTAGTGTTTGTAACTCTGATTTTACATTCACTTTGTAACCATCACCTTTTGGGTGTGCAGATATTCTTAGAGTGCAGGTTTATGTCATTGTGAAGAAGTCGGTGTCCTCCGATCGCCCCATTTGGGATAAGGACATTATTACGCTTCTGCCTTCTTTCCCCCGGCGCCTCCCCAGATGCAGCTTCTGGCCCGGAGACTGCCGGCACCTGGCATGGGCCTCTCAGGAGGTTGACATTTGGTCAATATTTGTTGAATCAGTGAAGGATGCTTTTGAATTGTTATATGGGCAGCTACACCAACCGAGAATCCTTCCTCGCTTTCTTCACCCACAGGGCAGATGCAGTCTACATATGCTCTATTGAGCATTCTGTACTTGACCGATTCGTAAGTATCCACAATTGGCCAGAGCGACACTTGGCACGCTTCGTACAAGACAGCTGACCTTTAGAGAGATTAACTTACCCAGATGAGGTTAGAATCGTCTTCAGGGTGCCCAGCCCTGCTCTTGTCCTGACCAGAGCAAGCACTGCGTGTGAAAGCCAGAACGTGGGCACAGCAGTGCTGCAATCCTCCACGTAAGGGACAGAGGGGAAGCAGGAGGGGCCCCTGAGAACTGAAGCCTGCCCTTTGTTGACGCTCTGAGAGCAGGAGGCCAGCCGTGCGTCCGGGGCTCCGGTGAGTTCACATGGGCTTGTGCCCAGGAGCATCGTGTCAGGTGGCTTTGAAGGGTGTATGTGCAGAGCAAACTGTTGTTACGTACGGTTACCGTTACTGAGCAGGGAATGAGAACCAGGCTCACTGTGTGCTCTCTGTAAAGATTTTGTTCCCAGTTCGGGTTTTTCTCCCTTTAGCAAATTGGGTGACAACCGAAAGCATCTCATATTATTTGGAGCTAGAAGCTCAGTACATGCAAGTGGAAAAGAGAGTAGTAAAGTCCTACACATAAAACATTTTTAGTGTTTTTGAAGTGGAAAATATGTACTTAAAGGTTTTGACCTACTTCAAACTGAATGACAGGCGAAAGTCCATTTGCCTGTTCACTGCTCCAGTGCTGCCCGAGAAACGGATGACCGTGCTCATCACCCTAACATCTTAGGGCGTCACAAACAAACAAGATGAACAAGACAATTTGGAGGCACTTTTGTGAGGTTAACAATTAGTGTCGAGAAAAGACAATCTACCGGTGAAGTAAACTGACCTCCTTTAAAATACACCCAGACCCCACAGAACACGGGATTTCATCCATTCAGTGTTGGTCCAGGAAACTCGAGCCGTGGTTGGAGATCGAAGGACCGTGAAGTCCTTATCATTGGCACACATGTGAGGTCCGATTTGGTGTAGCTTGAAAAGGCATTAGAAATAAAAACCGGACAACTTTATTGACAAGATAATTAAACACAGATAAGATTTTCTGTAAGTCCCAGCTTTTATGAAATACATACAAATACCACACCTAACAGTAGTGATCCATTCTTGAAAATCAGACTTCCTACATGAAAAAACTAGCTGGGATCCTGTTTTGCATTACTTAGAGTGGGAATTCTGTAATGATTTACATACCCACCTAAAACCCCAGTAATTTCCTGAAGTGTGTCAAAATCACACTAAAGACCCTCATATAAGTAACAAACCATCATGTTTATATAAACTATTTAAGATACTGTTGCCTGGTCACTAAAAGTAATTATGGTTATTGCAAATTGAGCATTTTATTTACAGTAACCCAGCCTGACGCAGCCTACAAGACATAGACACAGACCAGACGCACACAGAGACGCACACACAGACATACCCAGAAACACACACACACATGGGACCCTGAGTGTGGGAAACCCCATGTCCCTCCATTTATGGCTTTTTCTAAGGCCTCACCGCTGTGCTTGGGGAACTGAGGGCCCGGCCCTCCTGTTGGCACATCGAAACACTTCATTTCTAGAATTATCATGAAACTTTACCGTAGTTGGTACACTTGTAAGCAAAAGTGAAAATCCTTTCTCTCTCTCAAATAATTAATTAATTAAAAAAAAGTGAAAATCAAATGATTGCTTAAAAGCAAAGTCTCTCCAGATAAAAAAATCAGCACAGAAAGGATGGGAAGAAATGAAAACCAGCGGATGAGTCCATGCCCCTCATGTGCGCTGTTTTTCTAAACCTCATACTAACATCGGGTAAGCTGTGCCATCTTTCTAGCAGTCTGGGATATTTTTGTTCAACATCAAGGGTATTTCTGGCAGGTAATTAAAAAAATACAAATTTTAAAACCCAGTATTTACTTACATGAAGGTCAAATGCATTTAGTATGCGAAAAAGCCCACCCACATATATTTCTATGTAAATGTCAGAGCTATAATTGCTTACAATTATTTATTATTCAAAAATCAGCTGCTACATTTATGAACATCCACTACGGAGAGCACAATTTGAGGTTTTATAGAGTTGCCATAGGAAACCTGTCCAGTTCTTTCTACACAAACAGTATTTGTGGTTGTCAAAGAGGCCTAACAGAGACTGGGAGAATTGTGTTTTACATAACTTAAAAACTCATTTTCCTTAAAAAAAAAAGGAAATAAGACATTTTTCTTTCAATTTAGTCCATAATTTGATCACCCCCACTACACCACAATTAATCAGCTTTGTTATCCTGAACTCACTTTCACTGATAACAGTTTTTAGATTTCACAGGAAAAGTGTCACTTAACAGGTTAATCATGTGAAATGCTAACGTTTTAGGCTAACTCTGCATTAACCCGGAATTTAATGGATGTATCTGAGTCATTCATTCAGTCCACACGTCTCTTTCAATGCTGAGTTAGGCTCTGTAAGTTCTGGGGTTGGAGCCGAGAACAAGAATATAGAGGAACGTGATCCCTACACTCAAGCGGCTTACATTCTAGTGAAAGGCTATCTAGCAACAAAAAGCACATAGTGAATAAAGAAGGTAATTTCAGCTAGTGATAAGCGCTCTGAAGACCATATTTTAGGGTGATCTAATAAACAATGACTGGAGCACACCTCCGATTGGATGGTTGGGGAAGGCGCCTCTAAGCTACGAGGTGAATGAATGGCCAGGGAAGTAGGATGTGATTGGAGCTTTTACCCGTAAGCGATGGGACCTGGGGCAGTTTTTCCAGAGGCCCCCATGGCTTCCGGGCGCCCACGCCTGACTGCAGGCGACCCAGATGAGGCAGCAGTGCAGGTGGGAGACGTGGATGGATACAGGGCGTGTTTCTGGGTCAGCTGAAGGAGTGTGTGGATGTGCGGGTAAGGAGGAGAGAGAAGAAAGGGTAACGGTGAAGCCTGTGGTCTACGGCCAGATTGGCGTTTGGTGCCTTGTCACCTGCAGAGATGTATGGTCAGTGGGCAGAGTAGGGCCAGCCGTGGACAGCACGGCGAAGGAGAAAAAATAAACTGAGAGGAGAACTTGTGAAGAGATGGTTTGGGAAGTTCTCAGCCTCTCTAGATTGCACGGGATGCCAGGATTAGGAATTCACTGTTAGGCAAGCCCTTCTCAGGGATCCAGAGGTCAGAGTGTTTAGTAACACAGAGGGGTCTCTGCACAGAGTCTTGCTGTGTGGCTTCCTGCCCCATTTAGGATGCACTTGGCCCTTTGGGGACGGGTGATATGCACACAGCAGAGATGTCCGTGGGCTGGGAAGCTCTGGTCAGTGCATCCAGGCTGCGAGAGGGGTGGCCACAGAGCTCAGCTCTTCACAGCCAGGGTAATGAGGAAAGGGAGCTGATCCAGACAGGAGGCCACTGAGGGACAGGATGAGTTCCAGTGTCTATGTCCCGGCACCTGTTGAGACCCGTGGCCCTGACCACCTGCTGGTAGCTGGCCACCAGCCGCTCCCTCTGTGCCTCTGGTTTGGGCCAAACATCTGGCTTCAGAACCACTTCCATCTCGCCGCCCGGTGGAAAACAGAAAGTATCTTATCTGTCATTCCAGCTTCCAGCCCATCTGCCTGGGGCTTTCTGGTCGTGAAGGTGCCACAATGTGGAAGCGTATGGCACTGCCTTAGTTTCCCACTGTGACCGATCACAGACTTAGTGGCTTCCACAGTTCCGTGGGCCAGAAGCTCCACCTGGGCCTCACTGAGCTAAAGCCCAGGTGTCGCAGGGCCGGCCCCTTCTCGAGGGCCAGGCTGGGAATGTCCTCCCTTTTGCGTTCTCTGGCTGGTGGCCTGTCCTCCCTCGGGGCTGGAGGGCTTCCTCCATGACATCACTTGGACACCCCCTCCACCTCCTCGTCCTCTTTTAAGGACCCGGGATCCCACTGGGCCACCGGGGGACCCAGGATCATCTCCCTGTCTCAGGGTCGGCTGACTATGGACCTCATGCCTCCCGCCACCTGCCTGCCCCCGAGCCCTGACCCTGGAGCCCAGCACGTTCACAGGGTGTGGGAGTTGGGAGTGGTGTCTCTGGTCACTCTCCGCCACGAGCACCAACCCACTGCCCGGGGTCTCCCTACCTCACTCCTGTAGAGGTGCCTCAGAACAGTTGTGCGTATGGGGTGTTTGCTGAGGCTTTGGGAGGTGGTGGGACCTGGGAGGGCTTCTTCTCCTCTATGGGGCTGTACCCCCATTACTGTGTGATGTCCACCTGCCCCATTTGTAGCGAGGTCCGCCCTCGGTCTGGCTCCTGCCCCGTTTGCAGTGAGGTCCGCCCTCGGTCCGGCTCCTGCCCCGTTTGCAGCGAGGTCCGCCCTCGGTCCGGCTCCTGCCCCGTTTGCAGCAAGGTCCGCCCTCGGTCCGGCTGCCTCCACCTCCGCTCCCGCTGGTGGCCAGGGCTCTGCGTGAGCCTGTCCTCGCTCAGACCTCACACCTGTGCTTGGTTCTTTGTTCCACCTTTGCCTCCTCTGCCCGCACCCCGCCCCCACCGTTCCACTTCCTTGACCTCAGACCCCTTTCAGGTAGACCTCTTGTGCCCCCGGCCGCTGTGTACCCCTGCTCTCTGCTTCTCAGATTCTTGTTGGACTTGCAGTAAGTCCTGGCTGTTCCACGTCTGTGTGTTAGCTTGTCTCCCACCCTGGGGGCTCAGAGGGGCCACGCTGAGGACATCTCCAGGCCTGATCCTCTCTAGGGGTCACTCATCAGGTCCCCACAATGGCTCTGAGGCACGTCAGAGCACCAGGCTCAGGGAGATGGGTGAGAGACTCAAGCCCGTGGCTGATGTGCGCCAAGGAGGCAGGACCTCACCCTCTGGCAACGAGGCCTGTGTCCTTGCTCGGTCACCGAGGCCGTCCACGTGCGTTTCTCTCGCCTGAAGCAGATGCCCAGGCGGCTAATCAACGTGAACAAACGTGGGACAGGCTCATGGTTTTCTCTGGCTTTTCAGGAGCTCAAAGCTGAGTGTGGATAAGGAAAGGAGGTATAGTCTGGAGGATGACAGCGCTCTGGCCGAGGCTGTTCAGCGCTACCTGCCCTACCTGGAGGCCCTGTCGTGGGCTGCTCCGAACCCGCGCCCCAGGACAAGGCACGACAGACCATCTGCTCAGGTGACCCTTGCAGCTCTCTCTGTGGGCTGGGCATGTCTTACTGCTGCATGCAGTTTCCTCTGTGTGCCCACGCAGGCCGACCTCGCAAGTCCTGGGCCCCTCCTGGTTTCTCTCCTGCATCCCACGCGGGTCCGGCTGCATGCAGAGAAGGGCCCTGGCTCACCAGTCGCACACGCACGCTCACCAGTCCAGCACCATCAGAGCCAGGGGCCGTCACGCATCCCAGGAACGGGGTCTGGGCAATTGTTGAAGTCCAGGGTGATTGTGGGCATGCTGGTATTTGGCAGCCCCGCACACACTTCTTTTTTAGTTATGTCCACTGGGATTTGACGTATGTCCCTTTCCACGACTGATGTGTGGCTTACAAACGTCCTCTTCCTCTGAGGCCCTGCTGGGGCTTCATCAGAAGATGGTTGTGGCTCTAGGAAATATGGGGGAAGCAGCGTGGGTCCCTTCTTTGGTTATTTTCCTGTCGGGAAGCCACTGAAATCACGGAAGCCCACTGTGGGCTGGGATCCCGGGAGCGCCCCCACACATTTCTTTAGAGGGCTCACTGCTGATGAGGCTGCAGAGTTGCCTTCGCGTGGGAGTGGACTTTGAGTCGGTACAGAGCCAGGTGCATGTTTTCCTGGGTGCTGCGACCCTGCAAGTTAGGTGTGGGCTGGGAGCTCCCCCACAATCACGTTTCCACCCTGCATCGTGCGAGTGTGTTTGCCCAGCCCTTGGCATCTGCCCTGATGGTGGAGGTCTTCTTCAGTCCTCACAGGTGAGCCCCTAGCGGGAGAGAGTAACATCATGCCGGGAGGGCCCCCACGCTGCGCTTGGCCCAAGCCCACTCTGGCCTGGACCGCTGGCCGGCTTCTCAGTGCAGACCTTAACCCTGGAGGAGCTCACTGAACACTTTTTTTTAAATGTTAAGATTTTTTACTCATTCGCTGATACTGTCTAAGCACTTTCTATGAGCCGGACACTCAGCTGGATGCTGTGGGGTGAAAGATGGGATTGTCACGGTGTCACGGACCTGTTCCTGGGGGAATTGGCAGTGGGCAGACGTGGTAGGTGAGGTGCTGGATTCAGAACCAGTCCCACCAGTGCTGTGTGTCCTTGAGGAAGCTGCTCAGCATCTCTGTCCCGGGGTCCCTGGCTGTGAAGTTGGGTCATTGTGAGGATTAAGCAAGACAGTGCACATCGAGCTTTCAGGGAAGGCCTCAATTAATAGTAGTTATTACTTCTCATCCTAAATAGTCTTCACACACAGTGAAAGTAGGTCAGGAGTCTGGAAACCTCTGCTGCTTGTTGGTGGAGTCCCGGTCTCCGGAGGAGAACCGAGGACACAGCTGTGCTCTGACCGGGTTCCGTCTGGGCTCCAGCACTGCACGGCCCCACGGCCCCAGTCTCACCTGTATACCCCTTCCACCACACCCTGGAAAACCAGCATCGCCCCCAGTCCTGAAGATGGGTAATTCAAGTACATGTAAGCCTGAAAGCATCGCTTCGTCTGCCTCCTTTGTCCTCTGATGTGTCTTTATCAAAAGGGACACGAGGCTTCCTGCTCAGCCTTGGCTTCTGCTGTGGGTTTCTGGGCTTCCGTAATGGAGACATTGCCTCGAGTCCCTGCGTGTTGGACCCAGAGCAGGTTGTGGAGGAGGGAAGGGAAGAGAGTCGTTAAAATTTCCCAAGACTCGGAAGACTCAGAAGATGCTGAATGAAGGAACCAGCTGGAATTTCTCTGTGAAGCGGTTCACCATGTTCCCCTAAGTCCGGTGACTTCTCAGCTGGCTGCCAAAACAGAGAAGGAAGGCGGGCAGGTTCCAGGGCAGCGGCCCACCTCTGTCCCGCAGGGCGCTGGCAAAGCCTCATCAGCTGTCCCCCTTGGTGCAGTGGGAGCCTCGGCGTTCATTCTGAATCCGGCACCATGTTTCCCCTTCAGTGTGGTCATCACTCCCTTAGCCCTGCACTAAAATGAGAGAGTCAAGTTTAGAACAGAATTTGCTCCCTGGACGTGGAGGGGCACGGAAGCACCTGGATTCGCAGCCATCGTGCTGTGCTCTCAGCACCCTGCTGTCAGTAACCCGAGAGCATGATGTCAGGATCAGAAATCACCTGCATCAACCATGGAGCCTTGTGAAGTGGGACTTCTGGGACTCCCGCGGCCCGTGCTGGGAGTGTTGAGAGGGATTGTGGCTGTGCGGTGGGAGGGGGCTGATAGCAGCGTCTGGGGGCTCTTGGGTGGTCCCAGGGCATGACCTCAGGTGGTGAATAACTCTGCCACATCCGCCCCCGTGGATCCCGTCAGGCCTGAGGTGGTGGTGTGGGGTGTGTGAGCGTGAGGCTTCCTTACGCTGGCCAGTAGGATTTGCTGCAGTGTCCTTCCCGCCCTCCTCCCGTACCCTGTGATTCTACCACTGAGCGTCTGGACACACACCCTGGGATTGCTCTTAAGGCAGCCTTCCCTTTCTGGAAGAAAGCGTGACTGCTGTCTTTGCATGGACCTGAATTCCTTCGAGAGCCTATGGCTGAGATGTGGGGCCATCGCCTCTGACTCTGCCCTAGGGCCGCTGGAGGCAGAGGGAGAGGTGGTATCCATCCTGCCTGCACCCCGTTCCAGAAGAGCCAAGTGGGAGAGAGGGGCTGTCACTGGCCTCACCACACATTGCATCCATTTGACCCCCTGCCAAGCTTGGCTTCCATGGTCCTTAAACACCCACCCAGTGGGAGGGCCATCCTCCGTAGCTTGTCTGGGCACTGTCCCTCACAGATGTCCCAGTCTGGATCATGGGTTCTGCGGCCATGCTACCACATGGCCACTTTACCACCACAGTCACAAGGATTATTCAGGAAATGAGCACTTAGAGAAGAAAAGAAAATGAGCACTTGGTGGCATTTTTGGCTTAGGCTTTTTTCTTCTGTGTTGGGATAGATGCTTCTCACTATTAAAAAATGCACTAAAACCTAGAACTTGTTATTTTCTCTGTCCAGTGTCCTCTCTCTAATGAACAAAGCCTGGATCAAGCAAAAGAAGGCCATAATCAGATGTTACTGCAGCCACTGTGGACACTTTTTTGCCACAGAAGCACAGCCAGCCACGGCGTTGAGCAGTGTTTTCTGATCTCCACCCCTCTCAAGTGATGAAAATCTAAGTTGGAAATTTAAGCTTTATACACCCACGACCTTTCAAGGTGCAACCAATTTCCAATGAATTATTTTATAAATCATCTTTTTCTGTGTACCTTCAAAAATCTCCTCTAGCATAGGCTAGAGAAACATTGTGAATTTATTACCTTTAGAGGCTTGACTACAAATTACTTCCTGACAGAAGCCAGGGGGAGTCAAACAGCCTTGCAGCTCTGATGCAAGCTTGAGCTCTTCTCAGTCAGTGTCATCGTTCCCCGTGTGTTGTCTGTCAGGGGTGGAGGCAGCTCCTGTTTCTCCTGATCATGGCAGCATTGGTTAAATGTCCTTGTTGTCACTATGGAGAACACAGGAAACTCTCAACTTACACTATGCTGTTGAGATTAAAACTGAAATTCATCACCTAGAAATGCTGTGAATTAACTGATTTATTTTGGAAACGTTGTCTCAGCATTTTTCATGTTCAACAGGCTGCACTAGGTGCCGCGGTTAGAAAGGTAAACCCAGGGGGCACCTGGGTGGCGCAGTCGTTAAGCGTCTGCCTTCGGCTCAGGTCATGATCCCAGGGTCCTGGGATCGAGTCCCACATCGGGCTCCCTGCTCCAGGGGAAGCCTGCTTCTCCCTCTCCCACTCCCCCTGCTTGTGTTCCCTCTCTCTGTCAAAAAACAAATAAAATCTTTAAAAAAAAAAAGGTAAACCCGAGTCCTGCTGTTGGGACCTCACAAGTCCTCCCAGGTAAGGAAGACACACAGATGCAGTTAAGGATGGAGGAGCACTGCACTGCAGGGAATGCTCAAAATAAAGGAGGCCCGTGAACCAGACAGCAAGTGAGTCAGCGAGGGTTTCTCGGGTCGGGTACTGGAGGAGCATCTAGAAGTCACCAGGTGGCCTCAGCGTGCAGAGTGTCAGGAGACCACCCCAGTCCCACCTAAACAGCATGAACAGGCCAGGTGAGCTACCAGTCCTAGCTTTTAGAAAACCCTTTGGATTGCTGATGATAACAAAGAAACTCAAATGGATTGAATTCCAGAAAGTAATGAGGTCATTCTAGGGGAGAAGAGGCCCCACTCCTTTCATACAGGCTGCAGCAGCAGGAGGGGAACCAGCTGTAGGAGGGATGCAAGAGCATGGCCCCAACTTTAAGGAGCCATGGACCGTGCATGGGGACTGGCATGAGGGGCAGGAGCCCCAGCAGCAGCTGCATGGAGTACTGAGTGTATGAGAAGACAGTACACTGCAGGGGGAGACTGGGAGCACCAGACCCTTCTGAGCACCCCTTAGCAGCCCTCTAGAGGCTTGGGAAGAGGCAGAGTGGTGGAAGAAGAGCTACCTTATGGGGAGCAGAGAGGTGGGGCCCACAAAATGGAATTGGCTGCAAATCAGAGACAGCTCCCATGCTCAGAAGAGTGGTAGCCATCTGCAAAGCATAAAGCCAGAGTCGCACTAGGGCTTAGATCCCAGTGCTGCGGTAGAAAAGGCCTGAGCCCACCCTCGACATAACTACAGCCAGGAGTTACTGAATCTGACTCTGCAACAAAACCAACGCCCGTTTCAAATACAGCTCACATGAATTCAGCCCCACAATAGCAGACTGACAGGAGAAGGACTTGCCATTTCCCAGGGATAAATATTACTCCGTCATTCTCTATTATTCTTCAGACAAAACCCAGCTTACAGTCAAGAACTGGGAGACACATGAAGGGACAAGAAGATGGGACTCATGGTCAAGAGAGGAAAGAGGCAATAGAAGAATAAAGAATACCCAGATGTGACTCAGGTGTTGTAATGATTAGAAAAGGATGTCTTAATAATGGAATATATTAAAGGATTAGGTGGGAAAGGTGAAAAAACATAAATGAACAAATGG